AAAAAAAAAAAAAAAAAAAAGGATGGACAGAGACCTATCATGCAAAACACTAAGCATAACAAAGCTGGTAGTGTCAGACAAAGGAGGTTTTTTAAGATGAGAAATATTACCAAGGACAAATTAGGGATATTTCCTATGATAAAAAGAGTCAGTTTATCAGGAATAAATAATAATTCTAAATGCATGTGTACTTAATAACACAGCTTCAAAATACATGCAGCAAAAATTAAAGGAAGAAATTGGGGCCACCCAGTGGCGTAGTGGTTAAGTTTGCACCCTCTGCTTTGGTGGCCCGGGGTTCGCAGGTTCAGATCCCAGACGAGGACCTGTGCACCGCTCATCAGGACATGCTGTGGCGGTGTCCCATATACAAAATAGAGGAAGATGGGTACAGATATTAGCTCAGGGCAAATCTTCCTCAGCAACAAGAGGAAGACTGGCAACAGATGTTAGCTCAGGGCTAATCTTCCTCAGAACAAGAGGAAGATTGGCAACGGGTGTTAGCTCAGGGCTGATCTTCCTCACCAAAAAAAAAAATTAAAGGAAGAATTAGACAAGTACACAATCATGCTTGGAAATTACTCCCTCAGGAATTGATTGAACAAGTAGCTCCCAGTGCTTGCTGTGCGTGCCTTCTCCCTCCACCTCCCCCTGCCCCCCGAAAATGAGTAAGGCTATAGAAGATTGAAACAGCATTATCCATCAGCTTTGACCCAATTGACCTTTCTAGACACTATCAATTTGTATAACATAGTCTTTTCAAGTGCACAAGGAGCGTTCATCAAGATAGACCATATACTAGATAGACTTAATAAATTTAAAGTAATTGGAACTGTACAGAATATGTTCTCTGACCATGAAAGAGTTAAATTACGAATTGATAACACAAATATATCTAGAAACTCTCCAACAATTTGGCAGTTAAACAGTGCACTTCTATGAAGTTCTGGAACAAACAAAACTAATCTATGGGACTAGAAACTAGAAACAGTGTTTGCCCCAGGGTGAGGGGTGGGGATTGCTTGGAAGGGGGGATGGGGAAATGTGGGGGTAATGGAAGTGTTCTGGGTCTTGATTGGATGGTGATTAAGTGGATATATACATTGTCAAATTCATCAGACCAAACACTTAAGACTGGTGTGTTTAATTATGTATATTATACCTCAGTTTTTAAAAAAAAGCTTTGAGGCAGCTCCTGGTCCTGGGTCCTCAGCCTGGCTCATCCGTGCTGAGGGGTGCTGCATCAGCTTGTCTCCCGTCAGAAAGCAGATAGTAAATTTTGTCTTTCTCCCTTGCAGCATTAGTGACCAGAAAGATGCCAGAGACCGAATGGTTCAAGTTGTGAAATGGTACCTCTCAGCCTTTCACGCAGGAAGGAAAGGATCAGTTGCCAAAAAGCCGTACAACCCCATTTTGGGCGAGATCTTTCAGTGTCACTGGACACTACCAAATGATACTGAGGAGAATGCGGTGAGTTCTGCACTGATATTTTTAATTATCTTCAGTTGTGTACTGAGTTAAGATTTCATTTTATTGGGGGACAGCTAATGATAAAGGCAATGATCAGAAGATGCTCACCACCCATAGAAAAACAGTGTTGTTGGATCAGCATATTTTGTATATAGTGAGCGGGGGGAAAGAGTGGCATGAGATGTGGATAGAGATTTAGAAATCAGATCATGCAAAACCTTGATGTTAATTTTATGGCTTATCAGGATCTCATTTTTGTTTTTGAAAACATAATTATAATGATTTTGTGAAAAATCAATTAGAGAGGGGCAGAAATAGAAGCAAGGAAACCATTCATGAGGCTTTGGCATTATTGCAGGAGAGACAGGGTTGATTCAAGCTGTATTTTGGAGGTAGAACTTATAGATGGCTTGGGGTAGGTCAGGGAAAGGGGGCAGTCAGAGTTGAGTCGTTGCATGTGGGCTTCAGCAGTTGGTTGGTGCCATTTACTAAAAGGAAAAGATTGGATTTGGGGAGAGAAAAATCAGGAACCTGAATTTCAAATATAAAGTATGAGGGGTCTGTTAGATGTGTAAGTGGAGCTGTCAAGTAGGGAGTTACTCTGGAGTTCAAGGGAGAGGTCTAGGATGGAGATGGGGCTTGCAGAGATTTTAGTATATTTAGGTGGCATTTAAAGCTCTGAGATTAGATGAAATATCTAGGAAGATAGCATAGCTAGAGAAGAGTAGGTAACCCAGACCTGAGCCCCAGGCTCCAACATTTAGAGGTTGGTTTGAGGAAGACAGCCAGAAAGGAACACTCAAATTAAAGGGCCTCTAGGCATGGAAAAAAATGCCCCAAGCCAACAGTGCCTGGCACATAATAGTCTCTTGGTAAACGTAACTCTCTGTAGCTTTCCCTTTCCGAGCAACACGTTACACATAGTCCTTACTGAAGACAGAGGCAGTGTGTGTGTGTTCTTATTCATTTGGCAGACATTGGTAAGTGTCCGCTCTGTGCCAGGCCTGGCCGAGTTAGGCACATGATCCTTGCCTTCAAGAATGTCTTAGTCAGGGAGACACAAAGCAATAATTCGAGTAGTGTAATTAAGAGCCATAATAAAAGTGTGTGTAAGATGCTTTGGCTGTATGTGGGCGGGAGCAGCTAACGACCTTGGGAGGCAGAGACACCAGTTATTAGATTCTCTGCAGTGTCATTTGTGTTTCCACATCAAAAGAAAATGATGTTATATTTGCTTGCAGGAGCTAGTTGCAGAAGGACCAGTTCCCTGGGTTTCCAAAAACAGTGTAACATTCGTGGCTGAACAGGTCTCCCATCATCCGCCTAGTAAGTTATAGCACTCCTCTGCAATATCCACTTTCAAACTGTTCTGTTTAAAGAGGGTCGTTAAAAGCTCCATAGCTGAAGTCACAGTATTATCAGTTTTATGGCTGCCTGTATCGTCCCAATCCTGTGAGAGGATTGGTTCCTCATATCTATTGCTTGTATAAGTTTCAGAGACTCTTAGCTTCACTGATTAACTACGTACAAAAAGAAGGTATTTGGGAAACCAACTTTTTTTTTTTTTTTTTTTTGTGAGGGAGATCAGCCCTGAGCTAACATCCATGCCAATCCTCTTTTTGTCGAGGAAGACTGGCCCTGAGCTAACATCCGTGCCCATCTTCCTCCACTTTATATGGGACGCCGCCACAGCATGGCCTGACAAGCGGTGTGTCGGTGCGTGCCGGGATCCGAATCCGGGCCGCAAGCAGCGCAGCGCTCGCATTTAACCACTACGCCACGGGGCCAGCCCCAGGAAACCAACTTTTAATGCTTCTAAAGTTATCTCACATATAATGAGCTGTGCTGTAGAGACCTCAGCAACTTTGAGATGGTTTGTGTAAATGAGATGTAGTTTCCTTGCAGTATATTCCTGGCATAGTGGAGAGAGTGCGTATCTTCAACATCATCTTGTTTGCTCAATGCAATGTTAAGACTGGAAATATGGGATGGGTCCAGGTTGGGGCTGGGGCAGGAACATGCATGCTGGCCAGAACAGACAGACCTTTTTTTTTTTTTTTTTTTGTGAGGAAGATCAGTCCTGAGCTAACATCCATGCTAATCCTCCTCTTTTTGCTGAGGAAGACCGGCTCTGAGCTAACATCTATTGCCAATCCTCCTTTTTTCTCCCCAAAGCCCCAGTAGATAGTTGTATGTCATAGCTGCACATCCTTCTAGTTGCTGTATGTGGGACGCAGCCTCAGCATGGCCGGAGAAGCGGTGTATCGGTGCGCGCCTGGGATCTGAACCCGGGCCGCCAGTAGCGGAGCGCGTGCACTTAACCGCTAAGCCACAGGGCCGGCCCCAGACAGACCTTTTGATTTTAAGCCTCTAGGATTGGCCACAGTCTCATGATTTAGGGAAGTTCCTGTCCATGTGGCCCTGAAGGGTTGCTTGCATTGGGGGAAACAGGGTGTAAGAAGCAGTTAGTTACCTCCTGGCACTAATTGAAAATAATTTCTATTCAGTTTCAGCCTTTTATGCTGAGTGTTTTAACAAGAAGATACAATTCAATGCTCATATCTGGACCAAATCAAAATTCCTTGGGATGTCGATTGGGGTGCACAACATAGGGCAGGGTAAGTCTATGGGCATTGGGTGGACTACAGTGTTAATAGGATTTTATGTCCTTCTAATATATGCTGGACACTTACCTAGTAAGAGGAAATGGCCCCAGAAAGCCAGACTGGATGTCATTGTTTGCATGTTAGCATGTGAATTGGGGGTGAGAGCAGGGGTGGGGTGTAAGATTGATTTTTCCTAAATTGAATGGAGTATTCTGGAGTATCCATCAACCAGACAACACAACCTTATTGTGTTGTCACAATAAGGCCAGTTGACACTACTCATCAGAGATTCTGTCTCTTCTGTCCACAGGCTGCGTCTCGTGTCTAGACCATGACGAACATTACATTCTCACATTCCCCAATGGTTATGGAAGGCAAGTAGAGCTGTGTTCATTTCTTCTGATCAGCAAGCAGCAGACCCTGCTGTTCCTTAAGCAACACCCCTCCTCTCTTTCCTCTGAACTGTCAGCCTTACCTGAGAACTTTTGATTTTGCAGGTCTATCCTCACAGTGCCCTGGGTGGAACTAGGCGGAGAATGCAATATTAATTGTTCCAAAACTGGCTACAGTGCGAATATCGTCTTTCACACTAAACCCTTCTATGGGGGCAAGAAGCACAGGGTTACTGCTGAGATTTTGTAGGTATTTTGTTTTTCTGCTTCAGTGCTTTTCTGCTGCTCTGAAATACTTTTCCTTTTTTCTTGAACTGTAACTTCTGTTAGGAATTGACCATTTTATTGGTTTCTGTCTTTGAAAACTTGTTTCACACCTTATGTGATATGTCTCTTCCTAAAATCCCATATCAGAGGGAGACCCAGGGCCGGCCCAGTGGCACAGCAGTTAAGTGTGCGTGCTTCCCTTTGGCAGCCCAAGGTTCGCAGGTTCGGATCCCGGGCGCGCACAGACACACTGCTTGTCAAGCCATGCTGTGGCAGCGTCCCATTATAAAAGTAGACGAAGGTGGGCACAGATGTTAGCCCAGGGCCAGTCTTCCTCAGCAAAAAGAGGAAGATCAGCATTGGATGTTAGCTCAGGGCTGATCTTTCTCCAAAAAAAAAGGGAGGGAGACCTAAAATCTGGGTTCAGAACAATCAGAGGTCATTGGTGGGATTTCCTTCCTAGGAACTGGACTTGCGAACGGGAACCTGAAGGGGGTCTTCCTAGATCACCTTGCTAACCCAGATCATGGATTCCTGACTCATTATTGCCAGTTTGGACCGTGAGCTAGTCCATACAATAGATTCTCTTGACTCCCAGTGAAGTGTCTCCAAGTCCTGAGTCCTTTTTTCTGTGCCTTTGCTGGGGAAAAACAGTAGCCATCACATCTTGGCGTGGTTCTATTTGACACTCTAGGGTCAGATGAAGACAGCTCTGCTGTCTGGGTAATAGTCACTTGGATGGGTTCACAGCCTGCCTGGAAGAGGAAAATGTGCAGGACTTGCTCTGCCCTTGAAGGCCTCATTGGGAACAGTGTTGCAGGTAGAAGACACATCGCTAGTTAACCAGTTTTCCAGGGAGATAATTTAATTTGGATGACAGAATCAGCATCCAAAAAAATCTTGAGCAGGATGGGATCATGAACACCAGATGAAGTTTACTAAGGATCAGTGTAAAATCCAAAGAATTATTGCAGTCAGAAAATATGGGCAGAGCTTAGAGAGCAACACAAGTTACTACTGTAATGCTGCCCTACCCCCAAGCAGGCAGGTGGTGGAAATATATGATGTCCAGAACAAAGACATGGGTGGGCCTGCTTCTCAGAGTTCCTTCGAGGTAACCAGCACCAACAGGAACTGCTAGCTTAGCAGAATCTTCTGCCAGTCATAGCCATAGATAGTAGAAAGACTGCCCTCAGAGTTGTGAGTTGAAAGAGTGCTTGATGGGCTCTTAAAATTAGGAATTTGAGCATCTGATGAAAGATTGTACTAGCTGAGTGATTCTCAAGTTTTTTGGCCTCTTGACTCTTAACACTTACGAATTTTATGTCGATTATATCCATCAATATTTCTCATATTAGAAATTAAAACGGAGGGCCAGCCTGGTGGTGTAGTGGTTAAGTTCATGTGCTCTGCTTCGGTGGCCCGGGGTTCGCAGGTTTGGATCCTGGGCATGGACCGATGCACCACTCATCAAGCCACGCTCTGGAGGCATCCCATATACAAAATGGAGGAAGAAGGGCACAGGTGTTAGCTCAGGGCCTGTCTTCCTTAGCAAAAAGTGGAGGATCGGCAATGGATGTTAGTTCATGGCCAAGTTTCCTCACAAAAAAAAAATTAAAACAATATTTTTAAATATTTATAAAGTCATTTACAAATGACAATAATAGCATTTTTACGAAAAAGAAAAAACTTTTCCAAAACCCCGGTACGTAGTTGTGTATCACAGTCATAGAGTTGTGGCTCTTCTATGTGGGACACCGCCTCAGCATGGCTTGACGAGCGGTGAGTAGGTCCGTGCCCAGGATCCAAACCAGTGAACCCTGGGCCGCCAAAGTGGAATGCATGAACTTAACCACTACGCCACCAGGCTCGACCTGCAAAACTCTTATTTAAAAAATTTGTGAGAAGAGTGGCATTGTACGTTTTCTGAGTTTTGTAAATCTCTAATATAATTAATAGAAGACAGCTGGATTCTCCTGTCTACTTTTTGAAGTCAGTCTGTTGCTACATATCACATAGCCTCTGGGAAACACTGTACACTTGTGGGATAATTAAGAGTGAAAAAGGCAAATAATATCTTGATATTATGAAAGTAGTTTTGACCTAAGAGGGTCTTGGGAACCCCCAAAGGTCCCCACACCACCCTTTGAGAACCGCTGCACAATGACCTTCTAAAGCTGGGTGGGATTCTATCATTTTTCTTCCCCTTTGCCCCTCTTCCCCCAAAACTCCTAAATCATAGAGAAAACAAGTTCCAGTCCATTGGTAACAGCTTTCATCTCTGCAGCCTGTGTGTTTCTCTCTTTCTGACCTCTTTTAGCCTCCGTCTGTGTTCATGCCTTGCCTTTCCTAACCTGTCCTTTGCTGTGATGCTTATCTTTCCCAGTGCCATACCTGCTGTACATAGCACTGTCATGTCCAAGGAGAGAGGCTCGTTGGGGCTTTTGACGAGAGGATCCTTGCTCAGGAAAAGAAATCAAACCATTTGACCCAGAGGTCCCTGTGAGCCCAGGGATGAAAGCCTGCTCTGCAGCGTTATATCTGTCCTTAAACAGAACCTTTCCTGACCCATATTCGGGAGTCTTGCCCTTATTTCCAGGGCTCACGTAAACTCACCACAGCACTTACCACCCAGAATCTCAATGGCAATGTCTCTCCCCACTAGGCTGTGAGCAGCTTGAAGGCAGGGACTGTCTGTAGTCTGCTGTGGCCCCAGCCCAGGGCTCTCTTGCTCATCTTATACCCACTGTTCATGGGATCTTCAGTTCATTAGCATCTTGTTTAGGGCCCTTGTTCTTACACTTGGCTCTGGGAAATCTTCTATTAAGTTGCCTTTACCAAAGTTGTCACGTGTGTGCTCTGTGTAGGTAGGCCACACTGACCAGATTCTTAGAGTAATTTTCAACTTGAGACTAACACAAATGTTTTCTTTTCTGTTTAGTTCTCCCAATGACAAGAAGTCTTTTTGCTCAGTCGAAGGGGAATGGAATGGTGTAATGTATGCAAAATATGCAACTGGGGTAAGAACCTATATTTTGCCACTTGTTTTAGGCTACATTGAACTGTAGCCTATCCCTTACTCTGGCTTCCTTTATGTGGGAATGTAACCACCGAGGCCAGCTCCAGTGCTCTCTTCAGGTCAGCCTTTTTCCTTCCTCCACCTCTTCCCTGGCAGTACAGATAGTAGAATGATCTTTACTTTCCTCTCTCCTCTCAGAACGCTCAAGAATAATACATGTAAAAAAAATGCTTGGCACATAGTAAGCACCCAGTAAATGTTACCTATATCATTAGAATGTGTGGTGAGTATGTTTATAAAATGAAGAGCTAAACTAGTGTGCGTTTATATATACAGTTTGATTTTGTATAAAAATGCATTAACTACCTGGCACCAGGGATACAGAAATGAGTAAGATAGTCTTTGCCCTCAAGGAACTTGCAAACAGTAACTGATTAAGGTAGGAGGAAGGTGGTATGGGATTAACAGGAGCCAGTAAACTGGATTTTGGACTTGGAGAATTTGAAATGTAAAAAGCATGTCAGCCTACTTAACACTAGGATTAGTTGTTTATGGGTCTAGCTCTCCAAGAGATTACATCCCGAGCACGTAGCACATAGCAACATTGAAAACATCTGTTGAATTGAGCCTCTACCAAGACTTAAGGCACACCACTGTATTTTAGGCTGAAGATAGCACAGGAAACCCCTTATCCACATCATCTTCATATGTGAGATTTGATGATTAAATCTGTTAATTAAAGTCTTCTATGAAGAGTTGACTTTTCCTTCTAGAACAGTTTGAACAATAAAACTTCTACCTACCCTTTCTGTTTTCTAGGAAAATGCAGTTTTTATAGATACCAAGAAGTTGCCTATAATCAAGAAGAAAGTGAGGAAGTTGGAAGATCAGAATGAGTATGAATCCCGCTGGTAAGATGATGACATAACTAGAGCTGTTGGGGCAGTGCTGCTGCCGTTGGCTGGGCATAGGTGCAGGGCTGGGGTGTGGAGATAGTAGAGCCGAGTATAACAGAGCACAGACTAAGTGTGAATGCTTGGAGTCAGTCATTCATGTGGAGCTGCGCCACTTATTAGCTTTGTAACCAGGACTGTAAGCTAGCCTCTCTTTGCCTTCTTTTTTGAAATGGGAACTACCTCAGAGTTTTTGTGAGAACTAAATGAGGTAAACATATTAGCATATATATGATGCTTGGGAAATAATAAGTACCCAGGGTATGTTGGCTTATCACCATCTTTGTGGTTTATAAGAGAAGGCAGTGAGGCTCCAGTTGAGAGGTGAGCAGTACAATATATTCAGATCTTTTTTTTGTTTGTAAGAAACTTTTTTTTAAATTTCATCCCTAAGTATTTCAGTATGTATCTCTAAAACGACTTAAAAAAAACCCCAAAACACTAAACTACAATATCATTATCATGCTTTTAAAAAAATGAATTCCTTAATATCATCAAATATCGAATTGTATTCAGTTTTCCAGTAGTCTCAAACATCGTAATTTTTTCCCTTCTCATTTGCACGATAATATCAGGTTCTTTTAGTAGTATGAGGAATCACGCACTGAAGTTCTTTGTTTAGCATATCAGGAGATTTCTTAAGTGAAGAAAGGGGACCTTACACATCATTAGCATGCTTGCTGTCTCTAACTTGTTAAGTCTGCTTGGCCGGACTGCCTGCTTGTAGTTATGTAAGTAGAAATCTATAGAAATTTATGCTCTGCTACTCACCATAAGGGGATCTTAAGCATGGCCACTTTTCTATTCCTTAGGAGCCTTCACTTGTAAAGTGACACATTTGAACCAGACTTGTCTAGTTATCATCTTCCAGGCCTTGAGAGGAAGCGAAATCTCCTCCCCCTTAAACCTCTCCAGTTCACCTCTTGACACTTATTCTATTCAAACTGTTTCTCCAGAATCTCGTTAAATCTAAGGGAGTTCTTCTGAAATGGAACGTCTCAGCTTCTTTGATCTAACCCCTTCAGTTTATAGTAAAGGACACTCAAGCCCTGGAGAGGTGAACTGACATCCCCAAAGTTGCATAGCTAGTCAGAGGTAGAGCCAGAAGTAAAATCCCAGGTCTCATTTCTCACTGTTTCTCCTCTGTTGTCATCACCATACATCCAACTTTCTGCCCATCCTTTATTTCCTCCTTTAAGAACTACCAGTGGAATCTTCCAAGTCCATTTCTCTGTTCTTTACTCCAGTGCCCTGCTGCCAGTTTAAGGAGATTTAGTCTGTGAACTTTAGCAGTTAAAGCCATTTGACTTACACAGTAATTATGCTATATTCAGTGTGGCTCTAGACTTTCATTCTCAAGATTGCTAACTCCTGTGTCCATCTAGTACTTAGCACTTTGACTTCTTTTCTTTAGCCTTTGGAAGGATGTCACTTTCAACTTAAAAATCAGAGACATTGATGCAGCAACTGAAGCCAAGCATAGACTTGAAGAAAGACAAAGAGCGGAAGCCCGAGAAAGGAAGGAGAAAGAAATTCAATGGGAGACAAGGGTAAGCTTGCTTTGGGAGAGCCTGCCCCAGCCTCCCAACTGCTACTTCTGTACCCTGAGCTGTAACTCATTCATTCATTCAGTGAATGTTGAAGTCCAAACACTGTGAAATAAGCATGGTGATGAACAAGATGAGTCCTGGTCCCTGCCTGAAACTCATTTCAGTGTAACGGGGGGAGAAGACATAATAAAAAGAATGATATAGAAGTACGAAGCAAGTGTGTAACTGAATTCTCCCCCTTTCTCTTACAGTTATTTCATGAAGATGGAGAATGTTGGGTTTATGATGAACCGTTACTGAAACGCCTTGGTGCTGCCAAGCATTAGGTTGGGAAATGCAAAGTTTACACCTGATGACCAGGGCAGTAGGCATAATCAAGCAACAATCTTCCTTTGGGAGAACCGATTCACTCCCTTCTTATTACAGTGGTTCCTATCTCAGGGATACTGGACTTTCCGATGCAGATGAACAATTAAAACGAGAAAAAGCTTCCCTTTTTCCTCTTTTGTGGCAGTTGTAATTTTGACTTCAGTCCTGAGAAAAACTTCAGGTTTTGAAAACAAGATGTCTGCTCCTTTTCCAAACCCCATGCTTTGAAAAGCATTTGTAAATCCCAGTCTCAGACTCTGCACTCTAGTACTGCTGTTGAGATATACAACATCTTATAATCTTGGGTTATATATATATATATATATATATTACATACACATATATAATATACCTGAAGCCAGATTTTTCATAAATACTCCATATACTGTAAATATTGGTTCCTCTGAGTTGTTTTAGAAAATTAGCCCAATGTATTAAAATCAAGTCTTAGGAAATTTCATGGCTTCACCTACAATAACTTTTATTTTGGAATTGAACTATTATTAAATTGTATCTAACTCTGGACTACAGTTTAATTATACTCAGTGCTTCTTAAGGCTTCATAAAGTAATTTTTCCAACTTTTTTTTTTAAATGTGTTTCTTTTATTTTCTTTATGGTTAAACCTGGAGTCAGTTATTTGGCAACCCTGAATACAGGAGCTAGCTAGCTAGCTCTTCACAAGGACTCTCCTGAAATAACAGGGCATCCCTCCTTTGTTCTGACTTGAGCCCCACCGTGCTCTCCTCCAGTCTTCATTGAACTCATAGAGCACACGTAGGGCTCCCACCTTTTTACCCAAAAATATTTTATTGCCTTAGAGGATTTGGGAAGAGTGTTTTTTAGATCCCCACCCCACACTGAAACAAAACATAAGAAAAAGAATGCTACAGCAGCAAATGGCTCATTCTGAAGGGTAATACAGAACTATCTTTATTTAAAAATACACTTAAAAAAACAACAGGTATTAGTATTAGCACCTAGCATTTAGGTACTAAGACATTGGTTACGTAGGGCCTCTCAAGGCTGTCATACAGAACTGGATTCTCAATCTGAGAGGACCAGGCCAGGCCAGACCTTCTCAAACTGCTCATGTAAGTTTTTAGTCACACTTGGCCCACCTTGCTAATTTCCTTCTGCCAGCTGCTACAATAACCCTGGGTTTGTTAGTCACAACGAAGAGGGGGAAAAAGTAAATCAATCAAATTCTATAATACCAGTGCAAAAATTCAATGGAAGCCCTAAGACAGTAGTGGTATAACTTCATAAAATATACACACATTTTTAAATACACAATTTCAGGCCAATGAGACTGCAGTTTATTTGACTATTTTATGGTAGGGGAGAAGGTTAAGTGTCGATGTAAAAGCCCTGATATCAGTAATGGGGGTGGTACAATCCGCCAGCAGAGGAGAGGTTGGCAGGTAGGTTAGCTGCATCACTTCACAAGAAGAGTTTGAATCCTCACCGGAAGGGTTACCATCCTCTTCCAGCTCATACTTCCCAAATCCAACAACCTGAAAGAGGGCAAACACTCGAGGTGGGAAATACGCTGACCAGATTTGGGCACAGACCTGTTTGTTTGTTAGGATCTCTGATACCAACCCAAACCCCATGAATGGTAACTGGGCTAAATGATAACTCTGGAAAGCACAGAACTATATAGCATAGTTAACCATACTCACATGGACGCCGAGCATTTTACATCCTGGTCCTCTATGAGCCTTGAACCAGTTGACCAGGTCTGATTTTGAGAATGACTTCAGTGCTTCAATCTTACAGCAAGAAGGGAAAATAGAAAAGAGATAAAGTTATAAAAGACTAGCAATATATTTTCTGTAAAGATAGTTTTTTTTTTTTTTTTTTTTGTGAGGAAGATCAG